GCAGAATAATGTAGTATTTTAATTCCACAGTAGAGAAAGCTATGTAGTCTCTGTAAGTAGGGGGAGGAGGTTGTTCCCCAAAATCTCTCAATACATGGCCCCGGTCATCCTCTCCTTAATACAGTGCAGTTGTCCTGTCCCATGTGCAGAAAAACACCCCAAAGCATGATGCTTCCACCCCCATGCTTCACAGTAGGGATGGTGTTTTTGGGATGGTACTCATCGTTCTTCGTCCTCCAAACACGGCGAGTGGAATTAAGACCAAAAAGTTCTATTTTGGTCTCATCTGACCACAGAACTTTCTCCCATGACTCCTCTGGATCATCCAAATGGTCATGGTCAAACTTAAGACGGGCCTGGACGTGCGCTGGTTTAATCAGGGGAACCTTCCGTGCCAGGCATGATTTTAAACTATGACGTCTTAGTGTATTACCCACAGTAACCATGGAAACAGTGGTGCCAGCTCTCTTCAGGTCACCAGCTCCTCCGTGTAGTTCTGGGCTGATTCCTCACCTTTAGGATCACTGATACGCCACGAGGTGAGATCTTGCATGGAGCCCCAGTCCGAGGGAGATTGACAGTCCTGTTTAGCTTCTTCCATTTTCTAATAATTGCTCCAACAGTCGATCTTTTTTCACCAAGCTGCTTGACAATTGCCTCGTAGTCCTTTCCAGCCTTGTGGAGGTCTGCAAGTTAGTCTCTGGTGTCTTTGGACAGCTCTTTGGTCTTAGCCATGTTAGTAGTTGGAGTCTTACTGATTGTGTGGGGTGGACAGGTGTCTTTATGCAGCTACCGACCTCAAACAGGTGCTTCTGATTTAGAATAATAAGTGGAGGAGGACTAACAGGTCTTTGAGGACCAGAACTGTTGCTGATTGACAGGTGTTCAAATACTTATTTGCAGCGGTAACTCGCAAATAAATTATTTAAAAATCATACATTGTGATTTCCAGATTTTTATTTTAGATTACGTCTCTCACATGCACCTAAGATGAAAAGTTCAGACCCTCCCTGATTTCTAAGTGGGAGAACTTGCAAAGTCGCAGGTTTTCAAATACTTGTTTTCCTCACGGTATGCA